TAGCCCTTTGAAGATCCATATGAATATCTGAAATATCAAAACGCTTAACAGTATTGATATCACAGGTCAGTTTAACCTGTTTGAGAGCTTTGTAAAGGCACCCTCGAAAACTGGCAGGATTGATTAAAATTTTTAAAATTGAAATCCAGAAGCTCTGAAAATTTGACGGTTACATATTTGTAAGGTGTCTTCTGGAGAAGGTGATGGTGGATCGGAATGTACATTTTAAAGAAAAGCTTTCATATTTCTTTGTGTGTATGTATATTTCTCCTTTAATGAAGACCTCTTAAGCTGCTTTGAGGCAAAATGTATTTTGGTATCTGTTACGTCTGGAGAGCTGTGGGAAGGCTAAAGATGAAGCCAAGGAAAGAAAACAGCAGTGGGGCACATGCAAACTTGAGGCCACCTGGCTTCTTGCCATCATACATGACATTCAATTATTTTAGTACTTTTTCATGAGAGTTTTCCCTCCACACAGCCTCTCCTCCCCTCTCCAGACCTTGCTTTTCTACATTTGGCATAGTTCATCTGATTCAGCATGCATTTTTTCCTAGCTCTACTTAGTAATATGCCTCAGACTTTCTTCACAAAAAAAAAGTGCTAAGACTAAAATTCTTGGAATCTTATCTTGACATTCCCAGTATTACTATTCAAGGGTGATGTTTCTTTCAATACGTTGAGAGAGAAAGAAACTAGAGTGGTCTACACATTACTTCAACTGCTGCTTTGATGTACGTACTCAAAATATTTTTCATTTCCCAAAATATATTCTCATGGGGGAGGAGGACATTAAAAGCAGCTTTCAGACCGTGAGAATTTTTTTTAATGTAATGTAAGTCAAGCTGACAGACAGCCAATCTCTTATCTGAACTTGGTTTTTCTGAACTTACCTTTGTGTGGTTGTGTGTGTATGTCGGGGGGGGGGTCAAATAGTCACTTCAGTGGACTTTTCAACTATTTTTGACTCTGTCAATTGCTTTAATCTAGGCTGCAAAGGGAACTTTGTAAAGAAAACTTTTTAAAAACTCCCCAAATTGCTTTTAGGGGAGTTTGGCATCCAACATCAACAAACTATTTGCAGGAATGTTACATGTAACTTCACACTGGAGCATCAGAGTCACTTCACCAAATAGCCTTGCCACTGGGTTAGCACCCGCTGGTGCCAGGGGAATGAGGGGAAAAGTGTTTCAAAAAACCTGAGACTTGAACCTGCAACAGGTCTCATGTTAATTCTTACCCTTTTGCTTTCTGGGTTCTGCACATTCCTTCCTGACTCCCTCCGCAGGCACCGTACCTCATTTCCATCAAGGAGATGTGAAGAAACATCAATGGCTACACAGAGCCAGAGACCTGAAAGTGCTGGAATCCAAATGTACTAAATTGTGTTAGGCTTTAAAAGCAGTTGATGGTTCCTGTCTCTGTCCCTTTTTTACCTCTGCTCTCACCCCATTCTCTTCACCTGCTGCAAGTTTAGTGCCTGTGAGGAAAGTTCAGATCTGAAGGAAGAAAAGAAGAAAAGGAGGCACATCAGCTTTCTTGCTGGTAGATGGCTTGATCGACATAAAGGATGGGTTTGGAACCCAGATCCTGGGCATGGAAAGAATTAAACAATACTCTCAAAGGTGAAATGGAAAGACGGAACCTGTAGCTTGGGATTGATAGCTGAGCCTGCTGAGAGAAAATTCCAATTAGAACTTGACTTAATAAACCGGGTTATGCCTGCCAGCCGATGGCTTCTCGCACGCAAGGCTGGCCCCTTGAGTCCCTGGCCAAGCTGACTGGTTGGAATTGGGGAGGGTTGGGATAAAGAATGAGGATTAGGACCAAGTTTTAAAAGCCTACTGATGTTTTTAAAAGCACCATGCTGAGTGGGGGTTGAGTAGCTGACAGTATTTTATTAAAGTGCTATGGTCAGTTTCCAAAAAGAATTCCTCAAAGCATCTGTCAGAGAAAGCCCAGGTAGATCTCAGGGAAGGTGTAACAGCCTCACTTTGATATTTTTCTCTTCTTTTGATTTGAGTGGATAATACACTTAACTATTATTGTTTTAATTAGTATTATTTAAATTATTATTGCTTCAATGGCTAAAGCTGTGTCATTACCATCAACTCCATCTTACCTTCTCAAAATCCACTTAACGCAGCTCTTGGCAACCAGAGACCCAGTTTCTTGCCAAAAACTGCAGATTAAGCATTTGTTATGGGAGTTTGCCATTAGCTGTTCCTTCTGTTATGGGCACATGTGGTTACATGTCCCAAAACACACAAGAGTCCGTGTAATAGATTTGCATTCCCAGGAGGTCCCAGGATTACTCTGCGGGGTTGGTGACACCTTGCACCCATCCTTCCAACCACTACCATCAAAAGTGGGTTTGAGGTATGGGGTGGAAACGGGTTTACTAGGCAGCTGTCGTCCTTGGCTCCGCTGTAGTTTCCTCTATGAGCTGCTCCTTCATTGGTCTACAAGTACGCTAGAGCTTGAATCATATGTCTTTCATTTAAAAGACACCGAAAGGTTTTTCAGGGAATTTAGGGCTCCAAAGACGCGTATTTATAAACAAGCTGACTGAGCTCTACGACACAACTAAGTTTACAGCTAAGAGTTGTTTGTATATTTCCTCAAGTCAGCAAGGCGTTGCTCTTGCTGCTGTGAATTATTTTTAAAACGACCATTTCTCTTATCCAGCCCGTGTTTATTAGAGAAAGCCAGACTTCCAGAATATCTGAAGGTAAGGTACAGAGGGGGATAGAGGAGAGTCGAAAACAGTCAACCCACACAGGAATGAGTGGAAAAGTCGAAGCTCAGCTTTGCAGCAGGGGCGGCCCAGTAACCCGCTAGAAGGTGCCCAGGAAGCACAAGGCTGCTCCCTAGCCTGAAGCATGGTCCGGATGCCCCAGGGCACTTTCTCACCTGCGTTTCCTTGGCCTATTTCTTATTTTTAATTAATTAAAGCCGAGGATGCCAGGCTTGCAGTTCCCACACCTTGATTCAGTCTGGCTTTCTCCAGGATTGGAGACACGAATAGCCGGGTTTTTTTTTTTTGAGATCTAGCAATTCGTTGCTGGTGCCAGCTGCAGGGCTCGGGAGATAGTAATAGTAGTAGTAGCAGTAGTAGCAGTAGTAGTAGTAGTAGTAGTAGTAGTAGTAGTAGTAGTAGTAGTAGTAGTAGTAATAATAATAATAATAATAATAATAATAATAATAATAAATTAATTAATACAGCAAAAGCTATATGACTCCAGAAAAAGTGCCAACTCTCCAGTACCTGAGAGAGCTCAAGGCCACGCTGCGCGCGGCGCCACGTGTACTGAGCTTGTGGTCCTTCTGCGGAGAACCGAGGCCGCGGCTCCCGGACCCCGCTCGGGTTCCTCCCGGCCCCATCTGGGTGGTCAGTGCCAACCCTGCGTCTAGGGCAGTGCAAAGAAGCTGCTCTGAGGTGCTCAGGGCTCCACGATTGTTCCTACCCGTCTGCGAACTGTCCTAGCCGGTCTAGAGGGTCTATCGGTGAATCCTGAGCCAGGCAAGAGCCCAGAGAGGGTGGAAACCCCGCACCCATCCGGATGCCCGCCGCAGGCTGGCTCGGCCTCGCCGCACGCAGCGTCGCAGCTGCCGGTGGGCCTAAGGCCGCCGCGTGGTTACCACTGGGGAGATGCGACGGGCGCTGCGACGGCCCGTGGCGAGAAGGGCTGCCAGGACTCTCGAGCAGGGGCCTTCCTAGAAAAGCACAATCCTTAGTCCCCAAATTGTGGGAGTTTTTCACTCAATGTGCCCGTTGAAGAGGCATGTTGCAAATGGCTGCCTTTTCGTGCTCAAGACGCTGAACGCGTGTCTTTCAGACGTGGCGGGCTCCTCGGAAGCCTGAATCGGTCCCAAGGCCACACAGCGTGGCTTTCCACCCCGCGGGGCCGCCCTGCCCTCAGCGAGCGGCCCTCCCCGGCCGGCCGCCCATCCCCTCGGGCGGGAACGGAGGCCTTGGCCTCGCGGCCCGGGGCCACAGCGTCGCCCCCGAGCCTGCTCCTAGCGCGCGCGCCCCTCGCTCCTCGCACGCGCTTAAGTAACTCCACCGCGATTCTTCCAAAGTAAAAATAATTTAAAAAAAAAACATGCTGAAGGCCTTCGTTTTTCATAAACCCGTTTGTGTAAGGAGCCTCTCTTTGGCCTATACGAAGGGCCCTTTGCAGGCACTCTTCCTACCGGGTTTTCTGCAAATATGCAACTATAAGGATAAAGCCGTGGGCCGAGGGGAGGGGTGCGGAGGAGGTAGGTTGGCCCTGGTACAATGCACCCAAGCGCCCCTGGCTCGGCTCCCCTCTGCCACCCGTCGCCAGCACGTCCACACGCCGCTGCATTGCAGAAAGAAAAGCAAGGCCGTGGGCTCATCTGCGCGGAGCGCACCGGGGCGCCGAGCTCCTCCGGGCGGGGCGCAGAGGCCCCTGCACCACGGCCGACCCAGTTAATAGCTGCCCGTGTATCCGGCTTCTTGGGCTTTGGATTAATGTGGCTCTTCCACGTAAACGATTTACGGATGAAATAAAAGCCCTTTAGAGCAATGCTTCCTTTCAAGTTCTTAAGACGCCTCTAAATCTTTCTGGGAGTGAGTGGCCGGCGTGGGGGCGGGGTGGGGACCGGGCGCCGGGCGGCGGCCCGCGGGGACGCCGAGAGCGGGGAGTGGAGGGTTAACTGCTTTGCGATCTCACCCAGCTCTTCCGAAATGCCAGTCCCCTCTCGCGGCGACAATGATTCTGGGTGTCGGGGCCTCGTCCCTCCTGGCATTTGTCTGAAATGGAGCTGTCTGTCTAACCCAGGCCCGGACGCGCCCCGCCAGGGTAAGTGGGGGAAGGCGGGGGTGGGGTGGGGGCGGAGGGGGCCCGGGGTGGAGTTAGTCGCCCGCCGATTTTCATATTCATTAGAACTGGGAGGTTGCCCGAGGAGCCCAGCTGAGTTTCAAGATATAAAAGCAACTTCGGGTGCCCCTTCCCAGCCGGGACGTATTAAAGGGCTCCGAGCCGGGCCGCTGCCGGCGCCGCAGCGCTCGCCTCCCCTTCCCTCCTCTCCGGCCCTCCCTCCTCCCGCCCACCGCGCCCTCCCCCGGCGCTCTCCGGCCTCCGCGCCCCGGGAGCTCCGCGAGCGCCTTCCAGGATTATGGAGTTTCTGAGCGAGAAGTTTGCCCTCAAGAGCGCGCCGAGTAAAAACACTGACTTTTACATGGGCGCAGGAGGCGCATTGGAGCACGTTATGGAGACGCTGGACAATGAGTCCTTTTACAGCAAAGCGTCGGCGGGCAAATGCGTGCAGGCCTTCGGGCCCCTGGCCCGCGCCGAGCATCACGTGCGCCTGGAGAGGACCTCGCCGTGTCAGGACGGCGGCGGTGAGTCTCCTGCGCGAGCCGCGGCCTCGCTCCGGCAAACCCCAAGTGCGCGGACAGATCGGGATGGGCCGGGAGGAAGGAAGGAAGCGGGGAGCGAGAGAGCTGGGGGGCGGAGGAAGGCAGGGGGAAGGTGCGCGTTCGAGGAGTGTTGGCTGCTGCCGACTTCGGGGTGCGGAGGAAGGACTCGGCTCCGGGTTGCCTCCGCGCAGCGCTCCTTCGGCTGTCGAGTCTAGAGTCCCTCTATCCAGGATCCAGGCGTAAACGGATAGGGCGGTAAATAAAGCGTAATTGAGTCAAGACAGCGCGCTTCCTCTGCTAGCCCGCCGCGCTGCCTGGGCAGGAGGAGCTGAAATCGATCACAGCTCGTTAGAGGACGTCACTGTGGCCACGAGTAAGAAAACTTTGGAGCTCCGTTGGGTGAAAACCTTTTCTTTTTTATTGTCCAAGACGTAGCGGTATTTTTCTTTGTGAAGTTGGAGGATTGCTAGAATAGTTCGTGGGCATTTGTGATTTCTGCTTCTTTGGGTTTGCACTCCAACCCCCCATAATTTTTTTGTTAACACCAAATAACTTTAAATAGCTTCGGGCAAAGAATCTGCAATATAATCGTTTACTCCCGAAGTCTGCATTGTCTCTTTTTCCGACTCCCCATTAAAAGTCACCTAAGAAGGCTTTCGGAATGCTTCTGGGCAAAATCTTAAACTTTGAATGGCCAAGTATCTCAAAGTCAAAATGTTATCAAAACAAACCATTTATCTTTTCTATCTTGTAACCCAATACAAACCTATTTTTTTTCAGATCGCGACAGCCAAAGCAAGTTTACAATTCCAAGAGGACTTTTCCTTATCATTGTATATATTCCACAGTTAAGCTGTAAGGAGCGGGTTGCTTTAAAATAACAAACGAATTAAGTGTGAAATATTTACAACAAGCCTCCCGCCCCCTATTTTAATGGAGGTTCAAAATCTGGCAAGGCATTGGCTCATAGGAACTCATTTTCTAAATAGTCTGTACAGAGTAAGTGTAAAACACGATCTCGTATATATTTATTTTATTCAATGTTGCAAGTTACTTCTGACTTGCAGAGTTAAACCCAAACTAAAGGCGCAAATGATAGAAAAACAGCTAAATTGCCATTTATTTAGAAAGACACAAACAGTTCATTTCTGTTTTTAAAATGCTAAATTTTTGGCTTTCTGGATGCATTTCAGACGACAGTATCTTTATTTTCGGAATTCTTAGACGTTTATATAAAGTTATTCGAATGGGCAGGGTTTTTAAAAAAAATGATTCTCTAATGTCCTGTGTTGCTGCTGGATAGGACTCGGTCATATTTTAAATTGTCGGGAATTCAAAATAAAAGAAGTGGGTGATTATTGATACCTTCCTTCCCAGCTTTTAAACGAACATCACACTATTAGGATGAAGTTAGTAGGAAAGTATTAAGTAAGATGAATGTAGGGAGCAGTCTGCTATATTTAGGGAAGTTCCTGTCTTTCTCCTGAGATGCCCTTAGCCTCACGACTACTTCCCCTCCCCCATCCCTAATTACCGCAGTTCCCCATTTAACTCTGTCCGCAGAGACAAAACCGTATTGTTAATCAGTCACGAATCTTTATATTTAGTTGAACACATTTTTTTTTGCTTAAAAGCTATTAGGCATTAAGGTTATATAGTTATTAAAGTTCAGTACATTTGTACAGTGGTAAAAGCAGTTGTAAAAATACCTTATGAGATCACTTAAAAATAGACAAAAATGAAAAAGTACGGCAATTTCTTGGAAATTACTGGTCTAGCTGGGTTGATTTTACTTTAAAAAATGCCTCCCCTTTCATTATATGCAGCCCATAGGATTCGTGTGCGTGTGTGGCACCATATGATATATGCAAGCATGCAATCAAATCCAGAGGATTCACTCAAATTAAAACACCCCTAAACAGAATGCCAGATGACATCCTTTGTAATTTTTAATAGATGTTTCTATTTCTGTACTTCACGAGGGAAAAATAAAGCCTTCTGTTTCAAAACATAGTTCATGAGTTAAGCATAAATATTACATATTTAGAAAGAACTGCAAATGAGTTTTTAAGCTAAACAAGTCTACGTAAATATTGTTTAGAAACTGATATGAAACTCATTTTTTAGCTTAATAGGTCACTTTTTGAAAAAGATTTAAAATTCAGACATGAATATACAGCTGAAATGTTCTAGAAATAATATAATAAATCTATAATCCATAAGTTTTGTGTCGAAGAGGAAGGTAACTTACGGGAAGAGTTTGAATTTTGCTTTACAGATTTATTTGAAGTGGAAATACTTTTCTTGGGCCATGCAAGTAGCTTAGTTTTGTCTGGTGTGAATAAAGATATGACTTCAATGAATTTGGTTCACTTTTCAAAAATTACGCTCACTTAGATGTTATTTAAAATCTAGAACATCTTTGAATTTGGCTACCTTAGTTTGATTATAAATGATGTTCATAAACATTACATTGGCCCCGAAAGTATAACTGTGAAGTTTGGCAAGTTATATGATTTCCATATACACATTTTTAAACGGTCTTAAACCTGCCGAAGTGGATTAATAATGTGATGATCAAATGACTACTGGCACAGTAAACCTTATTAAGACCACTTTGCTGATGCTGTAAATTACTTCAACCTAAATCCTTCATCAAAATATTTCACAATCCTGAGAACTGTTATTTTTCCCCATCTGGGTACAGTGAACTATGGGATCACTAAAGTAGAAGGACAGCCTCTTCATACCGAACTAAATAGAGCCATGGACAACTGTAACAGTCTCCGGATGTCTCCCGTGAAAGGGATCCCAGAAAAGGGAGAACTGGATGAACTTGGGGATAAATGTGACAGCAACGTATCCAGCAGTAAGAAGCGAAGACACAGAACCACCTTCACCAGCCTGCAGCTGGAAGAGTTGGAGAAGGTTTTTCAGAAAACCCATTACCCCGATGTGTATGTCAGAGAGCAGCTTGCTCTGAGGACGGAGCTCACGGAGGCCAGGGTCCAGGTAGGAGCCATATGAAGGCCTTGGCGGGGTGGCGTGGGGTAGAGGGGAGTGGTGGGAGAATAATTTAAGATTTGCATTTTGCCACAAAGGAAGAAACCGATTTCTCCAACTGAAGATACAGAACAATGTAATGTATTTAGGTAGGTCTCTAAAATACCTTTTCCTTTGCAAATGATTTAGCAACCCACAGAAAACGTAGAATAAAAGAACACTTGAGGGTTATTATATAAGCATAAAATAATGATAATTTAAAAAGAACGATATCATAACATATCTCTGATTTTAAAACTTAAATTTTACAGGGCAAAAACCACAGGACTCATAGCTATCTATTTAATAATACATGTATTTTATTTTGTTTTCCTATTTTATCAATCATTGAGGTTCTTTTTAGATTATATACCAGGTATTGGTAAGTTATTTGTGTAATGGTCCATAAGTCTGTAATTTTATTGAGGTTGAGGTTATAATAAAACAATAAATGAAACAATCTCACAAATTCCCACCTGTTATGTATAGCATAACATATTTTCAGTATACATAATTAAAGAAAGATCATATTAGCTCATTGACAGTTTTCTAGCCTCAGCAGTTGCCAATAGTATCATTCCATTTTATTCTTTTAAATATAAGTAACATATATTTTTTTCAGGGTCAATAGAAATAGTGATTTAAAGTAATTTAACAATATAAACTCAATTGTATTAATAAATTGCATTCAAATTATCAACTTGAGTGATTCAGTATACTAAGTTTTTTAATCATTTGAGAAAGAAAAATTCTACCTCTTAGGCATATTTTGGTTTTACTAGAGTTCATAATCTTAAACTATATTGCATTAGTTCCCAAATAACCGTAATTCAGGAGAACAGCCTTTTTCTGTGTGTGTGTTTTTACTACTATAAATGGAAAATATTGAATTTTGCCGTTCCTGTAAGCCCACTAGAGAAGTGAACAAAATAGTGAAAAATTATGTTCTGTGTGGAGTAATAAATATTTCTACTGAAGGTTAAGCCATTGTAAAGCCTTTATATCATTAGAGACAACATCTAGTGGTGCGGGAATAACAAGAGCAGGGTTTTTCTTCAGTTTGTGGAGGCAAATGGTTCCTGTATCATAAGTTCAGGAAGTAAATATATAGAAAGTTGATGCTAATGAAGAATTTAGAATTGTCAAGTGTTAAGAGGAATCCTGCATGTGTTTTTTGTCTTGTATTCAAATATTTAAATTCTTTATATTTGTAAACCATAGAAAACTATGTGCACAGAGTGAGCAGCCATGCCCAATGCTTGTTTTCCCCTTAACATTCATCTAGTCCTGATTAATTCTTGCCTTAAGAATGTGCACAAGGAGCCAACCTGAACCTAATTTCCTTGTTTCCCTTCCTGCTTTTCACATCAGAGTGGTAACTGGCAACCATTTTAAGCAGATTGTCAAGGTCTTTTTTTAAGAGAAAAGCATCTTATTACTAAATTCCCGTAGTATGCTCCTGGTGCCTATTTGTGGAGACAAGAAGAAAATATGTTTTGTTTTGTTTTGCTTTGTTTTGTGTTGATGTTATCTTGAGCCCTGGGCAGAGTGGATAATACACGCTTACCAGCACTGATCTAAGAAACCATATTGAGCAGGTAGCTTTCTTTGCTTTGTTTTAAGTGCTGAAAGCTCTTCAGAATGTCATTTAAATTTGCAATACATGCTTATTTCTTAGACTGTGCGTAATGTTTCTGTAAGTATGACAATAAAAATATAGAAGGTTAGAACTGAGTATGAAAAACTGAAAATTTTAATTTTAATGAAAGGCTTTTTACAATTTGTATTTTTACACTTGGTTTCCAGTTTCTTTCTTAAATATTTTATATTCTGAACCTAGTTCTATAAAGACTAAAGAGCTTCTTGAAAGCTGCTTGTGTGACATATACTCAAAAATACCCAATTTATACATATTGAATATAATTTTCTCTATCTACCTTTAAATACATTAAAATACTAAAATGTAGGTTCCAGAGAGCTACAAATGTGAGTTAGCAAATATTTAACCTTCTGAGGAAGATGGCTGCTATGATAAATATATTAGTGTGTAATTAGAGAAATTTGGACAATTAGTGACCCTATAGAGGCTGCACCAACTCAAAGGCTTTCTTGACAGGTGAATATTACTGCCCTATTTCTTTTATTGTTTTTATTACTTGTAAGTCATTTAAATAGGTGAAATGAATTTGAAGGTTTCTGCACATTTTCTATAAGGCAAGAGAAATGTTCTAAATGGTGTAATTTATGTAAGTACAATTGTATATTTTAAAACCAGTAGTTCAACTTAAGATGATTCCATTTTACGTATAGTCTTTATTGTGCTCAACATAATATGTAATCTAAATATTTTTTGTTTCTAAAATGATCATGATATTTCTGCTGGTGCCTTATATTTTAGATATTTTAGATGGAATCTTTATGTTCAAGTTTTTCTAAGATTATCTAAACATGGGTACAACCCAGAAGAGTCTTCACTTTGTGATGTGTTTTGAAGATAGTTATCTTGACAGATGCAGATATTAATTTGGTTATAGATTGACTGGGTTAATGGTACATGTCCCCAAACTAAAAACTTATGTCTTCCAGACTTGCTGCATTCTCTGAGAGGAGGATTATCTATGATAATTTGGAGATATAAGGAGTCTTCAAGATCATATAACCTGATTACTTTTATTTTTCATCAATGAAAAAACAGGCATATTAAATAAATTTATTTAATAAATTTATTTATTAAATAAATTTCTTGAAAGTATCACGTCTATTTCTATACATTTATATTGCTTCATGGACATACGACTTTATCATTTCAGGGTAAAAACAAAATACATTCATGGATCCTTTTCTGACATAAAGACATTTCTTTACTAGTAGTTTTGTTGACTTGGTTTACCTTTCTGATTTGAAGTCTTTTAACATCCCATTTGCATTATCAAATATTCCTTAGCTAAAATTCTACTTTTGTTTTTTTTGAATAATTAGGTTTGGTTTCAAAATCGGAGGGCCAAGTGGAGAAAAAGAGAACGTTATGGCCAAATACAACAAGCCAAAAGCCATTTTGCTGCCACATATGATATATCGGTTTTGCCAAGGACTGACAGCTATCCTCAGGTATAGTAAACTGTACAGAATACTGACTGAGAAAAGCATGTGTGGTTTGTGTACTCTTAAAAGGGCTAGAATTAGCTTTGTTTTATCTAAAATAATAGTTAAGATGGAAACTTTTGACCTCCAGGAAACTTTTTCCATGTTAGTTAGCTTTTTATTTTGCTAAAATATTTATTCTGTTATTGTTTCTTCCAAAGCCATTCATTTTAAACCATTTGAGGGTCGTTTTCTTGCTATGCACGGCAGGAGCTGAAGTAGCATCATTCAGTAGCATGTCTTTTCATTACTCTACATATTAATTATTCAGACTTATTCCTTTGTTAACTTTTAAAACTAGATGAAGCATTGCTCGGCATACTATTTCTGTGGTTAATGTTTTATACAACAATGCCATAACCTAGTGTCAAATATACTCTCTGAAACCTTCAGTTCCACCTAAAAATATCTTTTCCTATATTATCTTTTTGACTTTGAGGTTGTGTATTGTTTCAAGGAAACATTTGTTACCTAAACAGATGCAGAATTAGTACTGAACATAATTTTTAAAATGTATCATGTCAAAAAATATTTCTATATATAATGGGAGTTCTCATCTCATTTCAGAGTATTTAGAAATTCTTCCGATTTTTCCTTTTAATTTAGAGAGTTTTCTTTTCTATACTTTGTGATACATGTAAATAAAATATATTTTGTTATTCTAATTGAATATTATTTTTTTCTAATACTAAATTGCAATGTTCAGATACATTTATATGTATTTGTAATGCTCAGATACATTATAATATATTTGATATTTGGTAAGGGTTACTTGTATTATAAGAAACAAGCAAACTTATTTCATTATTATTGTTTAATGATAAGCATTGTAAGAGACTACTTTGAAAGAAAATCTGCAATATATATGCTGGTAGAATATCTTGATAGTCCAATGACCATTCACTGCAGCCCCAAACTTAAGGGTATTTATTTTCTTCAACTATAAATTCATACCCTGTGAGTGTGAAATGTGTCCTTTAATTTTGTGCAATCCTTATGTTTTGATGCCTTTTATGGTCCTTAAGAACCTATTTTGATAACTATCACTCCCCCAGGTAAATTCAGCAAATTTATTAATGTAATATTGTATGTGAACAAAAGCCTTAGAGATCACCTAGTTCAACTCCTTCATTTTAAAAGTTAGCAGTTTCAGGTGAGTTAAGTAATTGGTCTGTAACCACACAAGTGGTTCCTTTCAGGACAGTTTGTCTCTAAAGGGCTTCTAAGGCTAAGCCCTGCCACTGCGGTTTGCAAGAAGACCCATATTATGGGCGTCTTTTGAATAAATGCCCATATCTACCATAAGAAGATCTTTTCTCTTTTAAAAAATTATCTTAAAGTAGTTCCCATATTTTTTTCTCCTGTTGAAAGCATGTATATAGTCCTAATTACTTAGCATCACAGGGCTAATGAAATTTTACTCACCAAGTATTTTTGAGCTCTCTTGTTGAGTTTTAAACAAAGTGCTATGAGGATGTTTTTCCTCTAGGCTGTAAGCTTCATGAGAGCAGGCACCGCAGTGTTTTCCTAGTTGTTGACATGATAGTAGCCCTTACTATATCAGGCACATATGTCAACACCTTTAATCCTCACAGCAACCTTCCTCAGTAGGTGTTATTTTCCATATGAGGAAACTGAGGCACAGAGGCGAGATATTTTCTCATTTTCACTAGTGATGAAACCCAGATTTGACTGGATCCCAACTGCAAGATATTAACCCTCACAGTAGACCGTATCTCCTGGTAAATATGTTTGAATGATTGACTAACTAATAAATTACTACTGAAAGAACATAAAACTTAAGTTACATTATTTGTGTCTGCATTTTAGTCCAGGGAAACAGAGCATGTACTCAGAACCACTGAAATAACGATAAAAACATAATGGAGACGGCATATACATCACGTAATTTTGGATGTGATGACTTTACTTGACTGTGATGACTTTAGAAATGATAACGTCACAAACTATGAACTCCTTTCAAGTAGACTTTAAACAGTCTTACTGATCAGTCTATCCCATAACACTTAATGATGATGTGTCTTTTTTGCACCTTCTTATTTCAATCTTCATTCCTTTCCTTGTAAACCCCCATTTCTGTTTTCCACTTCTGTTTCTTACTCTTGGTTCCCTTTATCTCAGACTTCCCTTTCTTCACTATAGCATAAAACAGTTACAATAGTGTCTGTTGCCAATTAGGCTCTTTATATAATGTATGTACTGACTATTCAGTCACCCTTTGTTTCTAGGATTCTCTCGCCATTGGGGCACTGGGCCTCACAGCGTTAGAGACTGTAAATTAGTGTAATGAGGCAGCCCCGTAGCTCAAGCAGAAATGGTACAATCAAATTATATATTTGGTAGTCTTTTTTACCTAACAATGGACTAGTTAAGAAATTTCTCCTCATGTATCATGGAAATTTTATACTAGTTCTCTCTGTGGCTTCTCCATAATTTATGTACATTGTTTAGACCACCTCATAATTTAAGGTTGGGAGCACAGAGATTATATGTTGAAGTTATTTTGACAGTGTCATTTGTCAACAACAATAAAACTCACAAATGTAAACACTGTAGTGCTTTTCTATATTGGTAAGTCATTTATTGTTTCATTGCCAAAAATTTGCAATCAAGCATCCCCTACTTCCTACTATAGGTATTGGTTAAAGCCAGGAAAAATTCTGTTTTAATGTAAAAATATGTGGTTGACTTTTTTAGTTTGTTTGAAAAAAAAATTATGCCAAGATCATGTCTCTCAAGCTTCAGCCTCAAGGAAACATTTTTTCACTTAATCCTGTGGCTTGAATTTATAATGGAAAAAATAGGAACCAAAATAGAATCCAACAACTCAATGCAGTAAGACCCCGAATTTGGTTACTGTTACTAATCACAGAAAAAAACATTATTAATTAAAAGAAAAAGCTGGAAACTAGAAAATGTTGGAAACAGGACAGAAATAAAGAATTAACAGTTTTGCAGGAAAGCAAAGGCATACACAGAGATGCATGAAAAACAGAGATGGTTTAGAAAATGATGCCCTCAAGCCTGCTCAAGGTGTATAATAATCTTACCTGACATAAAGATGCTTGTATGTACATAGCATTAATGTTTATTTATGAATATTTTCTAAAAATATTCTTAATATTTTCTTTACATTGGTCTTCATTACATTTGAGTAGTAAGAGCCATATTGGTAAAAATAACTACTAGTTAAGGGCTAATTTTAAGCCAGCCTCCCTTCTTAACAGCCATGAACTCATTGACTATAAGCCCAAGTTTGTTTGAGCTCAGGAGTCTAAGGATCCCTATACAACATTATCTCCATAACCCATCACTGAACAATGGAATAGTTCAGTTTTTACCCTAAAACATTAAATCACTCTGGAAAGCAAAAGTGTTTCCATTTTATAAATAAGATAAAATAAAATGATATGAAGCATTTAAAAATGTAGACATTTTTTAGACTGTTTTCAGGTATTTTTCTTTTACTCTCATTTAATAGCAAGCCGTGAGAGGTGTGATGTCAGTGGTAATATACTTCAAGGTAGAATATTTTGATGTACCGAAAAATAATAATATATGTAACAAAAAAACCTTTATTTTGACTCAGAGTATCAGTTGCCATTTGGCAACACTACAATTTAGATTCACTAAACTAGTTGATGTTCTCCAGTGCACATCATAAAAAGCCATTGCTTTTTCGATTTCCCTCTTCTCTATCCTTCAATCAGCCCATCACTTGGAAATCGAAAGTGGGGAGGGCTGCCTATAATGATGGCCGCCCCATTTACTATTTAAGGTATCTAAAAATTTCAGTTGTCATTTACCTTTGTATCACCACAGTATCAAACAAATTATATACACAATGAATAGATGTGGAAAAAGGACTGATTCACTTCAGTGTTCAGGAGTACATTGTAAACCCCAAATTAATCAGTTTTCAATGAATACAGCTGATTTCGGAATCTTCACTCTTAACCATCTCTGTGGTGTCAAGCAATTTACGTTTCTTCTTTGCATCTGTTTCCTCTGTTAAGAAGAGTAGACAAGGAGGATTTTGCAGAACCTTTCAGCTTAATTATTTTTTCTTCCAGAGTTATTTGCATTTTATCCAACAAATACATGCTAGATCCTGTTTCAGGCATGGGGGTTATACAAATGATGCAGACAAAATCTCCTGCTTTGTGGACCGATTAGAAATTTGGTGATATTTGTACCCAATTCTTCAAACACTTCTTGATACGCATTAAATCCAGCAGAGCAAAAAGACCTACATGATTTTGTCTTCGAGTTGAAAAAGGAAGCAAATATCTATTGACATTAGACGCTAATATGTTTCTAACTTATGAAAAAACCAGAGTATTTTTTAAATAGTTATTTTGGTGAATATCTATATTATTAAGGTATAAACATTTTCTGGAAGATTATAGCCAGGCTTCATTCCTACAAGGATTCCTGCCTATAATTCCTGACGTTGGATTAGGTTTGGATTACATGTGAATTAACTACTTTAGTAGCTGGGTAACTTTGGGTGTGTCTCTTGACTTCCTTGGTACTCAGATTCTTTGTCTGTAAAATGGAGGTATTGTTAGAGCTACACTTGGTGGTGGTGGTGGTACGGATGATGATGACGACTATTATCATTATGTTTTTCTGTTATGAAAAGGACTGCATTGGTTTCCAAATAGTCTGTGGAGCTAAATATTGGAACTTGAAGAGGGCCAGGTGTTAATGTACGAGTGTGGGCTTCACAGTCCAGGAGAAGCAGGTTCAAATTGACTCTTCTCTTTAATAGATTTTAGATTTTGATAAGCAAATTAACCTCTAGGAATGTTTCTCCTCATTTGTGATATGAAGATGAAAGTTAAAATGTTGAGGATTATACAAAATTGTGTATGCAATTGCCTAGAACATAATGAATGCCTAATAAATAGTAACAATTCTATAATAACCTTTGTCATTATTCA